GCGTCGATTAGCGTCGATTTAGCGTCGACGAGCGTCGATTCCTAAGAGCCGACAAGAGGGTATGGGAGGCTCCCATGCCCTCCCTCCCGAAGACCGGCCCAGGGCACTGCCGCAGGGTCGCGAGGGCCCCAAGCGTAGGCGACAGGAGCCCAAGAGGGCCTCAGGAGGCTCGACGGACTGCGAAGGAGGGCTTCCAGAGAGGTCCAGTACGGCCTGCGGAGGCGACTGGGAGGTTGCGGAAACGACCCCGCAATGAGCCGGACATGCTGGATAACGAAACAATAGCAACCTCACGAACTTCAGAACCAATTTCCGAATTTCTACCGAACAAACCCCCGAACAGGAACCGAACAACCCCCCAGACAGGAACCGAACAAACCCCCGAGCAGGAACCGAACAAACCTCCAGACTTTTACCGAACAAAACCCGCGGACCTCCTTGGAGAGGCCTTCTGGGCCGCCTGGAGATGCCTTCTGGGGCCGCCTAGAGGCCTTCTGGGACCGCCTGGAGAGGCCTTCTGGGACCGCCTGGAGGGACCTTCGGGGGCCGCCTGGAGACGCCTCTTGGGGCCGCCTTAACTGGGGCCGCCTGGACTGGGGCCGCCTGAACACGCCTCCTGGGGCCGCCTGGAGACGCTTCCCGGGGCCGTCTGGAAAAGTCTTCAAGGGCCGCCTGGAGACGCCTCCTGGGGCCGCCTGGACACGCTTCCCAGGGCCGCTTGGAGACGCCTCCTGGGGCCGCCTGCAGAAGCCTTCAGGGGCCGCTTGGTGACGCCTCACGCGGCCACCTGGACACGCCTCCTGGGCCCGCCTGCCTCCTGGGGCCGCCCGGACAGCCCTCCTGGGGCCGCCTGGAGTCCACTTCCTGTGGCCGCCTGGCATGCCTCCTGGCCGGGGCCGCGGAAAACGACCTCCAAGCACACATGTTTCTTTACTATTTGACTGCCCTTGGGCTCCGGCCTAGGTGCCGGCCGGCCTGGGCCACGGAAGCGACTCCCCAAACACATGTTCTTCTACTATTTGACTGCCCTTGGGCTCTGTCCCCGGCCTCGCCCGGCCCAGGCTGAAAAAGGACTCCCCAAGCACTCTTTCCTTTACTATCTGATTTGGTGTGCTGCAGCTAGCTCGCGACCAGCGCTTGCGACCCACGCCTGCGACCCGCGCCCGCGACCAAGCATGCGAACCAAGCTCGCGACCCGCGCCATCGATCGACACGTGCCTGCGGCCCGCCATCGTCCTGCTGGGGACAATGCCGGCATGCCGACTTTGGCCGACGCTGGAAAGAGTCGGCCCGGAGACCAGGGCCTGCTGTGGAAGCTCCCAAGCTGCGAAAACGAGCCCTCTAATCTTGCATGTTTCCGGGATCCGAGGGGCACCCACGGTGTGCCCGAGCTCCAAACGGATCTGTCATCGGACCGCCATCATATAGCAGAGAAGTAGGTGTTTGGGGAGTCGCTTTCTGTGGCCAGGGCAGGGCGGGGCCAAGGATGGAGCCCAAGGGCAAGTAGATAGTACATGGAATTGTATCTGGGAGGTCCTTTTCCGTGGCCCAGACCAAGTTTGCCTTCGAGGGTCAAAAGGAGTTGCCATCTCGTCCTCGGCGGAAGGCGGCGGAAGGATCTTTCAAACACCGAACGTGTCGTACAGATGTTAGAATCGATTGCCCCGGAAACATATGGAAAACAACCACTGGCTTTCTGGCGAGAACTTTCAAACTTACCCTGTGACGTACCCAACCAATCTGCAGCAAGTGACAAGAGAAGTTGGCGCAAATTTGCCAAGACAATGACAGTGCAGGCGCCGTTATAAGTTGTGCAAGCGCCATGGGATGTGCTCGCGTGGCACGATTCACAGGACAACAACAGTGGGACGAGGAGCGAAGGCCCAGGCTTTAGGAGGACAAAGGGGGCGGGAACGACGGGCAGGAGAATGACGCGCGGGGGGCCGAACCGTCAGCGCGGCAGCAGCACAAGGCAGGTGACCGGGGCCACAGGACGACGACGAAAGTGACGCCAGGAGACCGAAGAGTGTTGCTTTTGTCAGTAGTACGCTAAAAGATGCAGCGCTGCCTGCGCGATGTCGCCGCGGCGCTCGAAGAAATACTAAACGTGCTCAAGGTAAAACAAGAAGCGAGCGAGGCCTAGCTCGACCGCCATCTTCGCAGCTCCCCAAGGATGGCAAGGTCTCCTGGTGGTCCGCGTAAAACGTCGCTCCGCTGGACCCCCACGCGGCCTTCGAAACTGGCGACAGCTTCGCAGATCGCAGCCCCCCGAGGGATGGCGAGGTCTAATTTGAATCTGGGTCAGGCGTCACTCCGCTGGACCCCCCCAGTAACCTTCGAAAGTCGCGACAGTTTCGCATATCACAACCTCCCAGGGACGGCGAGGGCTAATTTGAATCTGGGTAAGACGTCACTCCGTTGGATCCCCCATCAGCCCTAGAAAGTGTCCAGATTCGCAGATCGCAGCCACCCTTGGATGGCGTTTTGAATCTGGGGAAGGCGTCGCTCCGCTGGACTCCCAAGCAACTTTGGAACGTGGCGACAGTCTGGCAAATCGCAGCCCCCAGAGATGGCGAGGTTTAAGTTGAATGTGGGTGCAGCGTCACTCCGCTGGACCCCATCCCGTTCGAAACTGGCGGCGGTTTCGCAGATCGCAGCCCCCAAGGGATGGCGAGGTCTGATTTGAATTTGGGTAGGACGTCACTCCGCTGGACCCCCCCCGGCAGCCCTCGAAACTGGCGACAGTTCCGCAGATCGCAGCCCCCCAGGGATGGCGAGGTCTAGTTTGAATCTGGGTGGGACGTCAGTCCACTGGACCCCCCAGCAGCCCTCGACAGTGGCGACAGTTTCGCAGATCGCAGCCCTTCAGGGATGGCGAAGTGTGATTTGAATTTGGGTAGGACGTCACTCCGCCGGACCCCCCCAGGCAGCCTTCGAAACTGGCGGCAGTTCCGCAGATCGCAGCCCCCCAGGGTTTGCGAGGTCTGATTTGAATCTGGGGAGGGCGTCACACCGCTGAACCCACCAGCGGCCCCCGAAAGTGGCGATAGTTTCGCAGATCGCAGCCCCCCCCGGAGATGGCGAGGTCTGATTTGAATCTGGGTGGGACGTCAGTCCGCTGGACCCCCCAGCAGCCCTCGAACGTGGCGACAGTTTCGCAGATCGTAGCCCCCGACGGACGGCGAGGTCTAATTTGAATTCGCGTGGGACGTCACTCCGCTGGGCCCCCCATCAGCCCTCGAAATTGGCCACAGTTTCGCGGATCGCAGCCTCCCAGGGATGGCGAGGTCTAGTTTGAATCTGCGTGGGACGTCACTCTGCTGGACCCCCAGCAGCCCCCGAAAGTGGCGACTGCTTCGCAGATCGCAGCCCCACAGGGATGGCCAGGCAGAAGGCAAGTTGGCACGCAGGAAAGAGCGAGGTGAGAGACAGGAGAAAAGGGGAGAGGGGGCGGGAGGAGGAAGGAGGTGTGCGACCGCCGTTCTCTATTCAAAACGAGAACCCTACGCAGGAGGTTGGGAATACAACGCATGTGTTCGCGCCGCTGCACATTCTTAAGACAACCATGTATGTACGCATGTAGGTATATATGTACGCATGTATGCGTGTATGTACGTATGCATGTATGCATGCACGCATGCATGTGTGTATGTAGGTATGTATACGTGTGTATATATATATACATTCATGTATGTATGTATGCGTGTATGAAAATATACACACATGTATCCATATTTATATATACATACATACATATTTGTATACATATGTATATGCGTATGTATATATATATGTATATATACACACAGCTACCGCACGAGCCTCTCGCGCGCGCGTGTTGAAGTCGCTCGAGCGCCCTGGCGCGCGTACTGTCGCAAGAATCCCCGGCACAAAACAGGGCGAAGTGTACGCGCGCGCGTCGTCGCGCGCGCGTGCGGCAGTCTTTCAAAAACCATAGGTTTCGCAGGGGTTTCAAGTTCGAATGCCCCGAAAGCATATCAATGAAATGTTTTGCAACATCAGTTTTCGAAAATGCTGCGCTCGTGCTCCTGCAATTTTTTAAGAACACCATCGTTTTTTTCCACATCGTCACGCATATTCTGCCAAGACCCTCTCGCGCCGCATGGCGAAATGATTCGAGCGCCCTTGCGCGCCTGCTGGGGAGGCACTGTCCATGTCAAATAACGCCATGCGGGTCGCTGTCATGTCTCGGCCGCGCGCGCATGTCGAACTCCTTCCAAAACCTTCATCACCGACGCGAGGACGCCGTCATCGTCGTCGGCGTGATCAGCATCGGCGCTGTCACTGGCCTTGCCGCCGTCGTCGTCATTATTGTCACCAGCATCGCTACTACCATCATCGTGTCTACCGTTGTCCACGGTGCCATGGTTCCGCGCCCGCCCAAATCGCCGACTCGCACTGACGTGCCCGCTGGGAAGTGCCCGGCGGTCAGCGCCACCGCGATTGCGCCGGTCGCGCCAAACTAGCTGGCCGCTGCGCGCGCGAGCATGAGCGGGCTAGCGCGGCCGCAGAGATACACCAGCCAACGCCGAGCATTCATTACAATCGCGACGCATGGGCTTTGCAAACCAAGGGGCGGGTGGGATGATTGCGCGAGCAGTGGAGTTGACAACTCGCTGCGAAGAGGAATTAAATGCACCGCGTCTATTCTCTTTCCTAAATGGTATTAGGGTTGACCTCCCCCTCGGACTGACTGGTGCACCGTTCTGATTTTTCCCGACCATCCTGTGGTGTTGGGTCCTCGTTTTGAAGAGACAGCGCCCCGCGTCCCTCCCGCCTCCTCCTCCTCCTCCTCCTCCTCCGTAGCCATTTTGGCTCAAGGTCCAAAAGTTCCCCAGAGGACCAAGTGGATACCGCTAGTCCGCGGCGGGCAAGATCCTTGTGATCTGGCAGTGTCTTGAAGCGAACCGCGCTCGCGCGGTCGGGTAAACGGAGGCGTTTCCCGTTCCTGGCCGCCCGAACGCCCAGCCCCTCCTCTCATGGGACTGCCGACCGAGGCGGACAAGCAACGTCTCGCAGATGAACTGGAGGCGGCCCCCACGTTCCCTTCACAAGAGCGGGTGGCGAGCACTGGCAAAGGGGGCAAAGGCGGCGCGGGCAGTGCTGCTGGCTCTCGCTCTGCTGGCGGCCGCCCGCGCAGGGCTCCCCGACATTCTCACGAGGATGAGTCATCAGAGGGCCGCTCCACGTCTCGCAGCGGGCGTGGGCAGTCGCGGACCGCTGGCACCGTGGACCTGGATGATGACCTGGAGTGCTGGCGGCGACAGCATGCGCGCGGCGCCAGCGCAGAAGGGGCTCCTCATGACGCCTGGGCGGCCGCGGCTGCTCGCGCGGGCCTGCCCCGTGTTGGCGGAGAGAGTGCTCCTCGCCAGCACCCAGCGCAGGCATCGTGCACCGGCCTCGCCAGCGACCTGGGCGCACCCCCGGCTCGGCCTGGAGCATCCGCGGCGGCCTCGAGTGCGCCTCGCGCTCACGGGGGTGCTCCATCATCGGTGGAGGCTAGCCTGCAAAGCATGGAGGCGCGCCTACAGGCCTCTCTGCAGGCGGCTGTGGCGTCTGCGAGCTCGAGCATGTCGAAGGCCTTCCAGACGGCGCTCGTCGAGATGGCCCAGCAGAACGACGGCCGCTTCCAGGCGATGGAGGACCGCATCGCCCCCATGGAGGAGAAGATGGTGCAGGTCGACCAAATGCAGAGAGAGATCCAGAAGTTCAAGGAGCGGTGCTCAACGCGGGCGCCCCTGCGGAGCTTTCGGGCGGCAGCTGGGACAGGGCGACGGACGCCGCGGTCGTCGCAGTCTTCGCCAAGACCGCGCTCTCCAAGCCTGCTGTGGAGCAAGCTCTGGCCCCGCTGGTTGCAGAGGCACAGCTCAACGACCACGTGGTGCTGGAGGGCGACGCGGTCTCGCAGCGCTTCCTCCTCCGATGCAAGGGCGCGGCAGCCCTGGCGGCCCGTCGGGTCAACAAGTTGCTGCAGCTCATGCGCGTGGGGCAGGGCCAATGGCGGGAGATCCATGCGGCGGCCCCGACGGGCGCGCAGGTCCTCCTCAATCTGGGAAAGGATCGGAACCGTCGTCAAGTCAGTCACGAGCTTGCCCTCAAAAGGATCAAGCAAGGGATCGAAGGTCTGCTCCCGCACAAGCTCTTCATGGAGAAGGACGCGGCGGCGCTGTCGCTGCAATGGACGCAACTGCTGCGGGTGCAGATCGAGCCCCCCTCGGCACAACCCCAGGTGCTATGGAACATGGCGTGCATCAGGAAGCTGAATCTCGACAAGGTCGCGCTGGCGGAGGCGGCGGAGCGTGTGCTGCAACCCGAGGCACAGGAGTGGCGTCTTTAGCAGGATGGCTCGATGCTGGGGAGCGGCGGACGGGGTGGCCCAGTTCGCGTCGTGGAACACCAGGGCCTTCGCCAGCTACCAGCCGAGGCTCATCAAGAAGAAGTTGCGCTACCTGCAGACGCATTGGCGGGGTCCAGTCGCACTTGGGACGCAGGAGACGCACGCGGGTGTGGAGACCATGCAGCAGCTGCTTGGTCGTACGGCCCGAGATTTTGTTTGCTTTGCTTCATCACCAATCGGAGCTCTTTCTGATGCGGGCGGGGTAGCCACTGTCTTCCCTGCGCAGACGAGTGGCGACCGCATCACATACATCCCGTTCGACGCTGTCCCTGGCCGCGCCCTCAAGGTGTCGGCCCTCAAGTCAGGCGCTGAGCTCCGCCACTGGAACGTGCGCAACCACGGCTTCACAGCGGACGTGCGCTCTCGTCTTCTTCAACATATTCGAGCTGACCTCGCCTGGGCACACGCCGACCCTGCTGCCCGCGCCGCGGTGGTGGTGGGCGACTTCAACTACGGCGACGTCATGGAGCAGGAGGTGTTCGGCGCACAGCCCCCTGGGCAAGCACCGTCTGGGCCGAGGGCGCACGCCCGGCGTGCCTGGGAGGAGGCGACGCGCTTGGCGGTGGGCCTTGCTCCTGCCCGAGCGACGCACTGGCATCAAGGTCTGCGTCGTGCTTCCAGGATTGGCAAAATCATGGTGAGCATTCCCCGCTGGGCCCTCTGCCAGCTCCGGCAATCTGCTGCGGTGTGCGGAGAGCCAGGGGAGCTGCACATCAATGAGGTGAGCGACCACGTGATGGTCATCGCGTCGATAGCGCCGAGGGCGCTGCGGCCCCGCTCTGGGCCCCGCCCCCATCCCGAGAAGGTTGGTCATGATGCCGCGCTTCCGCGAGATCGTGGAGCTCTACTGTGCGGAGGTGAGCTGGGACAAGCTGGCCCCCCCCCCGACGCGTACGCAGCGTATGTCACGTCCCTCCAGGCGGCGGCCAAGCTCCTGCAGACCGAGTTGCTGGCGACGAACGGTGGCGCGAAGGGCCCCAACGCCATGATCTGGAGGCAACTGGCCCGTGCGTTCTGGCGCCAGGACGCCGCGCTGGCGAGGGTGGTGATGGCGCAGAACCCCTGGGCGTATGACGTGGTCGAACTGGGGCCGCTGGGCCAGCCGCATCAGGTGGCGCTCAAGGACCCCGCCGAGTTCGAGCGCCGCTACACGTTGGCCCAGCGACGGGAGGCGGCTGCATGCAGGCGTGAGGCTCAGGAGGAAGCGGAGGCGGAGTCGGCTGAGGAGCTGCGCAAGCGCTTGATCGCGCAAGTTCGTGCTCTCCAGCGGCGTGCACAACTTTGGGCCCCTCGGGGAGCCAGGCAGCACCTGGCCGCGGTGGACCTCCCCCAGGGCGCGGTGACCACGCAAGAGGGCATGGCTGAGGCGCCGGCGGCGCACTGGAAGCCTGTCTTCGACCCGCCCAAGGACGCAGCCTCCGAGAGGAGGAAAGCGAGGATGCAGAAGCTGTACCTCGAGCGCTTCGCCACGCCGGCCCCCGAGTGGGATGCGCTCCCTCCGCCTGGCCCTGAGGCTCTGCGCTAGGCCCGCGGCGCCTGGCCCTGACGGCCTCCCCGCTGCGGCGTGGGGAGCGACGAAGCAGGGAATAGAGATTCTCTATCGTGCGTCAGTCTGGCTACGCTCGGGATACCCGATGAGATCCGATTTCAACTGTGCCATTGGAGTGTTCATCCCGAAATCGCAGGCCCCGTCTGATGGTTCCCCCCACTCGTGTCCTCCGAGTGCGACCCGTCCTCTCTCTCTGAAATCAACGGGGCCAAAAGCGATTTTGAGTGCCAGTGGTATAAAGCAGTCTGTTTCGGCCTCTCAGAGAGGCTTTGTCCGCGGGAGAAACTTTTCGTCTAACCTGGTTGAGCTCGATGCCTGGGCCCGCATCGCGAGCATGCGAGCGACCGACCCCGAGGGGTGCCCCCCCGAGTCTTCGTCGCCCATGCTTCTCGCCTTCGATTATGGCCAGGCTTTTCCTTCCCTGAATCATTCCTGGATGTGGAGGGCTCTCGATGCCTGGAGGGCTCCTGTGGGTTTTCTCGAGGCGCTGCAGGGAATTTATGTGAGTGCTACCACTTTCAGTGCTTGCTCTGCTCGGGTCCCACTGTATAATGTGCGTGGGGGAGTGATGCAAGGCGACCCTCCCTCTGGCAGCATGTTTGCCCTTGGAGTCGACCCCTTTGTGCGTGATCTAGACTCGGCCCTCTCGGGTGGCGAGAGCATGGGCAAGGGGCTCGCCAGATGGTGTGCTGACGACTGTGGTGCTGTGACGTGGGGGGCCCCTGGCCGCAGAGCTCTGCGCCGCGTCTTCTCTGTCTCGGGCAAGATCGCAAATCTGCATCTTCGCCCCAGCAAATGCTTTTGCGTTCCTCTCTGGGCACCGTTCTCGCCAGCCATCAAGAATCAAGCCCAGTTGCTCCTGCAGGAAACCTCTAACGAGTGGCAGCAATTTAAGGTTGTGTCGGAATTAGACTACCTGGGATGCGTTCTCGGCCCTTCCGCCACGATGCACACGCAGTGGGCGCCAGTTGTGCAGAAGTACAGAGACCGCGCGCGAGCGATTGCGAGCACGGGTGCTGATGCGGCGGCGTGTGGCGTCATGTACAGAGAGAGGGCTGTGAGCGTCCTTCAGTACAAGTCACAACTCTTCGAACTTCCGAAAGATGAGGTGGCGGATGAGCGACATCACCTCGCTCGGCTCTTCCGTGCGCCTGGCTCGTGGCTCCCTCTTCGCCGCTTCTTCGACCTCCACTCTTTCGGCGGACCCCCGCTCCCCCCGCTCCGTGGCGCCGTCGCCCTCGCCGCCCGCATGCGAACCGCCCTCGAGACGACAACGGTCTGGAGATCGCTCTGTCCGAGGCTTCAAGCTGAGGCGGAGGAACACCTCCCGCTGGTGCAATGGGTGGGGCGAGGGCACGGGCACACTCCGTGGCCGAGCTTCTGGATAGAGCCCCCGCTGGCCTGGAACCTCCGCAGCGCGGCGGAGGCTGCGGACGAGCTCGGCCCCCTCGCCGCCCCTGCCCGCGCGGGCCTCGCCCTCCTGCAAGATCGCCTGTCGGCACAGCAGGAGGCCTTGGCGGCTGGCAGGCCTACATTGCCCGTCAAGGCTCAGAGGTGCCTCCAGGAGGGCATCGCCCCCATCCTTTACCCCTCTGCCTCTTCGCTCATCCCTCTCATTGCCCAGAGTCTCCAGCGATGGTTCCAGGTCGGGGAGGACGTCTGTCGCGGGGTGGACTGGGACGGGCTGGTGGGTCTTCTGCGTCGTTCCCCCCCGTCCTGGAGAATGGCTGCCGTCGAGACGTGGACAGGGGGGTGGGTCACGGACGCCCGCATGCGCAACCCCGACTTGCCATGTCTTATGGGATGCGAGTGCCCTGACTCCCTCGCCCACTATGTGCGTTGCCCTGGATTTCTTTTCCTCGTCCGTTCCGTGTCGGGGTCCGAGGTGGGCCCGCCCCTCCCCCGACGATTGGTCATCCTGGATCCCTCTCTTTTGCGACTCCGACAGCTCGTGATTCTCTTTCACCTCCACCGCCTCCTTCACCAAGCAAGGAGGAGTAGAGGGAACTGGTGTCCGTCCGCCGATCAGGCGAGAGACTTTGCCAACGCGGCACAGATGGCGACTGACACCCCCTATGGGAGGGTGGCGCTCGATCGCCAGAAGCTTGAGGGTGCAGCAGGTGTAGGTGTGGCTGACGAACTCATTCCGACGCTGGGCCTCCTCCTCCTCCTCCTCCTCCTCCTCCTCCTCCTCCTCCCCCCTCCCCCTCCTCCTTCTTGCGTTTCCCCCGACCAGCGCAGCGTTTCGTGACCCCATAGGGAGCTCCACCGAAGGCCCCAGTGGCAGGGTTCGCATGGCGGCCCCGCGTTTTGCCGCAACCCTCACACGCTTCGTGGCCCCATAGGGAACTCAACCGAAGGCCCCAGTGGCAGGGTTCGCATGGCGGCCCCGCCCCATTTTGCCGCACCCCTTACACGTTTCGTGGCCCTACAGGGAGCTCCACCGAAGGCCCCAGTTGCAGGGTTCGCATGGCGACCCCGCCCCATGTTGGCGCACCCTTCACACGGCTCGTGGCCCCATAGGGGGCTCCACCGAATGCCCCAGTGGCAGGGTTCGCATGGCGGCCCCGCCCCATTTTGGCGCACCCCTCACATGGTTCGTGGCTCCATAGGGAGCTCCACCGAAGGTCTCAATGGCAGGGTTCGCATGGCGGCCCCGCTCCATTTTGGCGCACACCTCACACGCTTCGTGGCCCCATTGGCAATTTCCATTGCTTTGTCCCACCTGCCCTGCGGTTCTCACACTTGCGTATGGTTGGGTCCTTCGCCGGGATAATGTTTCCTCGCATCTGGTTCTGCACGCTCGCCCATCCTAAGAGTCAGTTCGTACCGACCCAGGCGGTGCCTGACCGCCCCCCCTCATCCTATGCCAAAAATGTTGTGCGCGCGCACGTTTATCACAATTCACTTGTTTCCAATGATCACTTGCAAAAGATGAGGCGAAGTGCACGCGTGCGCCGTCGCGCGCGCGTGCCGACATCTTTCGCAAGCAGTGCGTTTCGTCAAAAGCCGCAGTTTCGTGAAGACTTCAAAATCTAGTGCCCCGAGAACATATGAAACAACGAATGGTTTCGCAAGGGGAATGGAGAATATTGAAACAAACATGTGTCCGCGCTCTTGCAGTTCACTTTAATCCAGAATTTTCCTCTAAAACGTCACCAGGCGAGCTTCTCTCGCGCGCGCATGTTGGAATCGCTCGAGCGGCCTTGCGCGCGCGTTGTCGCAAGAACCTCTTGCGCAAAACGGAGCGAAGCACGCGCGCGCGCGTCGTCGCGCGCGCATGCGGAAATCTTTGTTAATGACTACCGGCTTCGCGCATGGATTTCAAATTCGAATCAATTCATGACATGTGGTTGTGCAACACCAGTTGTCACAAAATTCTGCGCTCGCGCTCCTGCGAATTCTAAAGTATACCATCCGTTTGCCCATATGGTGATTAAAATGTGCCATGCGTGCCTCTCGCGCCGCATGTCGAAATCATTCGGACGCCCTTGCGCGCGTGCTGTGAGGGCACGGCCCCTGTCAAATAATACCATGCGGGCCACTGTCGCGTCTCGGCCGCGCGCTCATGTCGAAATCCTTCCAAAACCTTCATCATCGACGCGAGGACACCGTCCTCGTCATCGGCGTGGCCAGCATCGGCGCCATCATCGGCCTTGCCGTCGTAATCGTCATCATCGTCACCATCATAGCAACTATCATCATGGTGTCTACTGTTGTCCACGTTGCCGTGGTACCGCGCCCGCCCAAGCTGCCGACTCGCACTGACGTGCCCGCTGGGGAGTGCTCAGCGGTCAGCGCCACCGCGGCCGCGTCGGTCGCGCCAAACTAGCTGGCCGCAGCGAGCGCGAACATACGCGGGCTAGCGCGGCCGAAAAGGATGCACCAACCATCACCAAGTACTCATCGCAATTGCCGCCGCATGGGCTTTGCAAGCCAAGTTTTGGGTGGGTGGGTGGGATGATTGCGCGAACAACGGAGTTGTCACTTCCACGTTGTTCAAGGTTTATGCACCGGGCCCCACACAGGTTGCAGAACATTGAGTGCGCACTATCGATTCTCCTTTCTTAAAAGAGACTAGACTCTCCCCCCCCCCCGGACTTAACGGTTCCCCCTGGGATAATATAATTTCATATATATATATATTCTGCACACTCGCGCATCCTAAATATGAAATCGTACCATCCCAGGCAGGCCGGCTTCCCCCCCCTGAGGTTCCCTAGCAACAAAAAAACTATGCGGTGACATTTTTTGTTCTAGCATGACACTTTTTCGCGAATCCCCTGCAAAAAATGAGACGAAGTGCGCACGCGCGCGTCGTCGCGCGCGCATGCCGAAATCCTTCAAAAACCTTCGGTGCCGGAAGGATTTCGCAATCGAGTTTCCAAAGAACATGCAACAACACATGTTTTCGCAACACTGATATGCAAAAAAAGCTTCCGCGCGAGCTCTTGCGAAATCTGGAGAAAACCATAGGTTTTTCATGATGTTCACAAAAATGCTACCAAACGAGCTTCGCGCGCGCATGTCGAAATCAGTCGAACGCCCTTGCGCGTGTGCCGTCGCGACAATCCTCTGCAAAAAACTGGACGAAGTGCAGACGCGCGCGTGGTCGCGCGCGTACGCCGAAATCCTTCAGAACCCATCGGTTTCGGAAGGATTTCGAAATCGCGCGTCCAAAAAACTTTCAAAAACCCAAGGTTTCGCAACACGGATTTTCAACAAAAGCGTGCGCGCGCGCTCTTGCGTCGTCGTTGTCGTCGTCGTCGTCGTCGTCGTCGTCGCCGTCCTCCCTCCTCCCGCGTCGTTGTCGTCGTCGTCGTCGTCTACGTCGTCCTCTGTCTTTCCTCGTGCTCGTCGTCGTCGTCCTCTTTGGCGTCGTGGTCGTTTCCGTCGTCGTTGTCGCCGTGGTCGTCCTTCCTCCTCCGCCCTCGTCGTCGTCGTCGTCCGTCGTCGGCGTCTCGTCGTCGTCCCTC